TTATACCGGATCTCAAATCCGTAATCCGTGAATAATACTTCACGAAGCCCACCACTCAATTTAAGAGTTCCGAGAGGTTAGACTCTCATAAACATTCTCAAAGGTACGACCGGCGAGGAAGTATCCTTACCGAGAAATAGAACCAAAGAACATTCATACATACATATAATTACATACATACTAAATATACAATGTAACAGAATAATAATAATAATACTAATAGTACATGAATGTAACCAATATTTATTTGTACCGGGGAAACAATCCAACCGGGGGACTATTTGACTAGTCCACATGGCAGAGCCATTCCTCAATTCACCATGTGTCTAGGGAACGAGCCGTCCAACTGGGGAACGAACTCTCAGCCAGCACGTACAGCCGACACAGTCAAAGCTTGTACGCCTAAAATTCCAGTGCTACGCGCGCAGACTACCCCAAATCCAGGGTCCACAGCAACATCCCCTCAAGAATGTTCTGTGTTCTCATAATTTCAAAGTATTCAATATCCGTAACCAAAATCAGATCAGGGGAGGTACATGTATTAGTGCTTAACGCACTCCAACTAGCAAATCAAATATTACCTTTTTATAGCTCATATCAACCATCACGTACCCCATGCATAGACGCATGCAAATATAGTTTCTCAGAAGTCAAACATCATAATAAGTTTTACAAAAACCTCGAACTTTCACTCGAGCATTTATAAATTCTTGATAAACATAATAAAACCATTCGTCATATTTCCATGAATGAAATCATACTGAGTTTCAAAAGAAAAGTCCACTCACAAGTAATCCCACACAGCTTGACCCTTAGAGGGTCCCGCCTGCTGCGTATGCTGGGTCGGAGTACCTGATTCAGAATAGAAAAATACGATGAACGTCAAGCGCTTCAAAACAGAACTTTAAAATAAAACCCTAGCTTCCCGGGAGTTTCTATAGGTTTGACGAGGTCTAGGATACACGTCCTATACATTTGGTCCGAAACGGACGGTTAAATCGTTCACGATCGCACAAATGGACGGTTATCGAAACCCTCACCCTAGGTTAGCCTTTCCGGAGTATCCGGGACTCCGTTTTACGATCCGTCGAATCCTATACGATCCTAAGGGTATCTAGAGGTACATATTTCAGTTTGAAAACGATCCAACGGTCGGGACATATCGAACCCGAATAACGCCCAATATGCGATAATTAGTTCGATTGTCAAACGACCTCGGAATCGAGATCCGCGAAATCCTAAGCGCTCGTGACAACCTAAGGATCACACTGGAATGATTTACAGCTCCACCACACTTGCCCACGCGCCGCCACACGCGCTGGCAGCAAGCGGGTGACCAAAGCGATTAGGCTCGGCCG